GAGAGAGAGAGAGAGAGAGAGAGAGAGAGAGAGAGAGAGAAATTGCGTGGATATAAGGGTGCTGGTTAACTTTTAATAATTCCCGAATAACATTTTTTTGTTGATTCTCCATACACACGCTGTTTTACTAGATATTGTCATGATAAACAAAGTAATATACCAACTGAAATACATGGCCGTACACTTCTGTTACATCCCTATAAAGTAAGGAGTAAATATGTACATTTTTTATATTATACAACGTTTTAATTTTTTCAGCGTCAAAGACGAATGTATATTATTAAAGTGAAGTAGCAAGTTTAATAATAGTAATATTGCACTCCCACATTTTAGTAGCTATAGTTCAATTAAAGGAAAGCAAGACTCAGCAAAGCTAAACGATATGAATGAGCATAAACTGTTGAATACTTTTTATAGGTAATTTGCAGGAGTTCTTCGATTATAATAAATGTACCTAGTGGAGTAAGCTAAATTTCTGTTCTCTTACAGGGCTTATGTTAGACCATGTTATGTAATACTTTTAAGATCTTACTGTACAACATGCTATGCAATAAATAAATAAAGTAACTTCGCAAAGGTTCTCAAATTCGCTTATCTTTATAATTTTGTAGGACTGTCTATCTGAATAATATTTAAGCTACTATGCCATTGAGCGCGAAGTGTAACGAACATACGTCATTGATTGCAATTCGTCCAGGGTAGTACTGCCACCTTACCTATTTCTCCCGCCAACCAGTAATATCAGCATTACTATGTTCCGGTTTTGAAGGGTAAGGATGCTGGTGAAATTACAGGCACATGGGACTTGTCAACTTAGTCTCAGGGTGACGGGCGCAGTGGTAGTGCCCCTCAGAACTTCGCGATTTAAAGCTCTGAGTGGCACTGCAACTGTTATGGACGGGCGTGTAGCTTACCATAAGGCGCACGACTTATACGTCTCGTCACTAGATATTATAAAAAACTTTTCAGTTTTTTTGTGTTCCTATGACAAGCAGTGAATAAAGAACCCACATAACACGTGATAAAGTTAGATACATATATCGCAACATAATATTATAAACAAGTTTATCTATATATCTTTAAGTTGTATACGGATATTTTTAATGGATAGCAGTATGTTTTTGCTAAAATAATTTTTCGCCGTCGGCAGCAGTGGAAAAGTTCTCCTGGCACATTTACAGTCTGATTTAAAAAAACAAGTTCTGTTGCCCTGTACTTTTTCGCACCTAACATTAATTTAAACTTTTAGGTGTGTCGATGATGGTGTTTTAATATGTTATGTGAGCAATTTTAATGTGTATTTTTAGCTTGATATGGGAAACTTTACTCATGAGTTTTTAAACAAATATCGGTGTACATTGTTTACCTTGTGGCTTTTTCCCAAGTAACATGTCGTATTTAGTACTTACCTAGCATTCACATAAGTGTACTTTACCTAATGTAAGGCTTTATTATTGAACAATAAAAAAAATATTATTATTATTATTACCTGAATTCCCGTTTTTGTAAAAGGTTAGTAACGTATTTCAATATTATATACGTGATATATACGAAGATTAATGGAAAAAATATACATTTATAACGGTGATGTTTCTTTCTAAATATTTAAATTAAATAGAAGGACAAAAAAAATTATAACGGATGGAAAGGGATTTCACAAATCAAGAACTCTATAATTTATTGATTTGTGAAATAGTCATTAAGATAAATAAGTCAAAATAGGACTCAGGATCATTCATTTAAATCGAGTTCATTTAAAAAACGAGGACGTAGAAGGAAAGTCTCTAATGGAAATTAATTTTAACCATTTTAAGAGTTTTTTTTAATGTAGCGGAATCAAGAAAACGAGTTTTTCATGCAAATAGCGGGGATGGTTTTGCATCCTCTCTTTAGTGAATTACAAAAAATATAATTAACTGCTGCCTTGCTGCTGTAGCCGGAATATGAGTTATTTATCTAGTCCGAACGTAAATTTCTACAAACTGGATTTAAGTTCGGATTTTGGGATTTGTGCTACACGAGTTTAAGCTCCAAGTACTGAGAAATGAGTATTATAAAAACCATGATGTAAAGGACAAAAAGAAAAATCAATTTCTGATCGAACGAAACTCCCCCAAAGCTCAAGAATTTTGTACAAAATGACACCCAAAGTGTATCGTAAAGGAATTGCTGCTTGACTTGATTTCAACCTTTCGTGTAAAGTCAGACATTGTGGCAATTATCATACATAGGTTAACAAAAGTCTTCAACTAAATTGCCTTTCGGTTGTACAGATTTGTATTATAGTTCTATAATAAATTCTAGGTTGTACGCTGGGGTATACACACGATTGTCATTATATTTTTATGATGATGACAAAAATCTAGTTATTATTATGTTTACTGATACGTAGCTTACTAGTACTAGTGACATGCTTGTATATATTACGAGTGAATTTCTATTGCGATTGATATTAATGGATGCAAAATACCTTACACCTAATTAATTAGTACTTGTGTAAATTTTAGATTACTTGACTCTACCTATTTCGAAAGAACAATGGCAAAATTATAGTTAAAAGAATTCGTTGGCGTCTTCAAATGTCTTAATTACAAGTTTGAATAAAATAAATTCATTAGGTGTTTCAAATTATAACAGCGGCCTATTTAAGTCTGGAAATAAATTCATATTTCAAACAAACTCTAATGGCTAATTAGTATGTAACCGGATATCTACAATTATCAGTTTTTTAGTTTCTTAACGTTAAGCGACATCTAGCTTACAAAAAAGGAATTTCAGTACATACGATGGATATGGTCCACATTTAGATCACTTAATATCAAATGTACTGATTCGACCGTTTTGTAGTAATCTAATAAAATATTAACTACTTCATTACAAAAAATAAAGTCGATAATTTCTTCACACACTCACGGCACCATTCAGCTTCTATTAACTCTGTTTAAGGCTTCTGTAGTTTATTTTGATATAATAATACACCGAATATATTTTATACTATTATGTAACACATAACCTCCAAAACTCCTAACTGGAATATCTTTAATTCCTGACTTCTCAGAATAAGAAACCCAAAACAAAATTTGTTCAGGTGTTTCAACTCTATATTTTGACATATTTTTTCATAAACAGACGCATACTAATTATGTCAACAAAAAATTATATGGGGGTTCTTGGGGGGCGTGGTCCTTTTTATTATTTAAATATACGAGTATATTACCGTGATAATTACCACTTGGGTTCCACCTGTATATTTAAATAGCTCAGTATTCTTTTCAATCGACATAAAACATTTAATAAATATATGTTTACATTTAAATAATAATGATAAATGACTAAAAAGGTTTTTGCTTACTAAAACCTTAATAACCTGTTTATTGGGCAACTTGTGGAGATTTGTAATTAGCACTGTCACCTGTTACATAACTTATATTTATTGATAAAAATTTACTGTAAGTCTTCCAAATAATATTATAAATAAATAAATAATATTGCTACATAAAGTAAAAGTGTAACGATATACACAGCGTGTTTTTTAGTTTTTTTACTGGATGAGTGAGAAGAAATCCGAAACAGTTGCAGGTACAGAGAAACTATGGTAAAGTAAAATTTTTGGTTCATTGTCAATTTTCCGTAAAAATTATTTAATGTAACAGTAACTTATTTTTAAGCAAATCGGCTCAGTTTCACGTTATTATAATTTTATTGTAAACAAAGAAAAATGTGGACAGCAAACGGTAAAAATTCAAACTTTTTATGCGATTGATACAATCTAAATATTTATTGCTTCGTTTAATAGAATATAAAATCTCCATTTTGCTCTATGCAGAATCGGACACGTTTCAATACACCTCTAGTACTTAGCTTTTGACAAAGACATCTGGTAAGTGTTGTTTAAAAAATAAAGTAACTAAGACACCACTCAACTCACTTCGACTGGAATTTACCCTACAATACTTAATATTCAATACAAAAATCAATATGAAATGAAAAACCATTCAAAAGTCGTTGAAAACCAAATACAAAGATCCGACTACAAGTCCGCTGATTCGTTCCGTGGCTTAGTTGGTTAAAAGGTAAAAACGTACCTAAGACAGTTTCCTTATATCTGGTAAAGTTTAACATTTCGCCATTGGCCAGTTAAAAAATACACTGCTTAGCTACTCAGTTTTTAGCTCCGGTAAGGTATAAAATTATTATTGGACCGTTGAAGTTGTCTTTTTATTCGGATGCCAGAACTCTTTCTGGTACTCTCGATAGCAATGAATAGGGTCACATTATTTTAATGAACTCTTTTCTTTTTTTTAAATGAATTTGAAATGAATAATGTGGTCGTATTATTTCCTACCGATTTTAGTTTTTTTTTAAATAATCTCCAACATAATATCGAATGAATCAGAAATAGACCGGGACCTTAGTGTAAGTTTTCAAATATGTAAATTTAACTATCGCGTTTGCGGTAAGATTTTAATTTAAACCTTATAAACATATGTTATTAAGATCTAATTAAAAATCTTAACGCAAACGCGGTAGTCAAGTTTGAATGATTTCAAATTTACACTCACACATAGACCTCTGAAATAACTGCATGCCAAAAGACACTATCATTGTGTGAAAATACATGTTATCATATGTATATGTCAAATTTCTAAATCAGGTTTCTTATAATAAATTGGGAATATGCGCCATACATTCCCACATAGATTGAGACGGTTGTCGTTGAGAAAGTTCGCAAGGATTTCCATAAACATGGAATACACAAATTTTAGCAATCGAGTAGATATTCCGAGTGATTTAATTTGCCAAATTTATAAAAAGTACCTACTACCATTGTACATATTTATATATATTATATGAAATTATCAATGCTCCTATGTCGTGATAATTCTCTTATATTGTACCTACAACAGTACCAAGCAATTGTACCTATTGCCAGATCAGAATTATTATTCTTTCGATCGTAATATCTATTTCCTTTTGTGCTTCATATTTCTCTGTAGCTGAGTTATGGACCCATTTGACGTCAGTCTCTTATAATTTGTATTTTCTTTTCCTATTATTTTATGGCGTATATTTATATAATATTGATTTTTTTAAATAGTTTATTTAGTCAAGACTTAATAATAAAGACTTACCATCAGCAGAGGTGCAAAGCGTGAGCTGCGGTTGATACTTGTCGGTGAGCCTTTGAATGAGGTCGATCTGCTCGAAAGTCAGTTGTACTGCGTCACGGTGTTGCGCGTCGCACGGTACATACGCCGCCCAGAACTGTTGACATAATTAGAAAACGTCACGTTTATACGCCTATGCATCAAAATTAAAAAAAAAAAACTAAATATTCACATTCTGTAATATACTCACAATCCCAGTAGACACAATGTCTATACAGAACAACGTAAACTTCAATAGGGATCGTTGCCTTGGACTTTTTACTTTAAAATGCAGTCATGTTAAAAGAAACCGAGATCTTTCTAATGAATAAGGTCTTATAACGATCAGACGTGAAATGGCGTGGGAGGCAAGGTAGTATCTCTGAACTCTTTGCACGTTACAGCCCCAAACTCATCTGGACCAGCGAAATGTGTACCTATAAGAAAGGACCGTTGTATTCCGTAATCCAAATTCTGGTAAAATTACAGGCACATGGGACTTGTCATCTCATGTCTCAGGGTGACGGGTGCAGTGGTAGTGTCTCTCAGATCTTTGCAATGTAAAGCTCTGAGTGGCACTGCAACTGTTATGGACAGGCGTGTAGCTTACCATCAGGCGCACGACTTGTTCGTCCCATCATTTGATGTTATCAAAAAATTCAGCTTTTGAGTGTCATACTGCGCGGTTAGGTACCATTAGGAAATGACTAAATGTGTTTTTGCAACATATTACATTCTGTTACTTTACGGAACCTAAACGTACTTTGATGTCTCTCTCTGTTTAATCTGTTGCCACTCTAACGGTGAGTGCGTCCCTTACATTGTGGTTCGTTCTCTCCGGTCTTTGACATCCGCTCTGATTAAATAACACGCACGGCTAGCTGGCTGCGTAACCCGCAGACAACCCCGCGGCCCGCATCCCCGAAATACGCTTTGCCGCCCTGGACGAGGGGGCCATAATCACCCCCATAGTAACTACCTACCCACAGATTTAAATTATCATCTAAGTAATAACTTTGGAAATATTGAATGAATATATAGGCACCTAACAATGTTAAACAATTAGGAGATACAAATGCTGTGAGAATTAACATAAATTATGAAATAATGTTATGATATAGTTATATTAAGCGACTGAATAATAGCCACTACAAATCAGCATGTTTATTATTCTGATTCATTCATTCAGAGTATTCATACTGGATTTAAAATGTATTTTAACTGCGAAATCAAACTCAACATGCAAATGAGATATACACAGTTGAGGCCAATGTTGCCCGAATACTAAATACATCCCCTGTCTGTGCTCGTAGAACACGAGTACGAAGCACATACATACATAAAGAGCATGTCCAAAGAAAATTGAAATTTTATAATGGGAATCTCAGCGATGAAATACGTGAGGAAACTCGACTGTTAAGGGAATGGAGGTATTTATGAGTGGATTTGAAAGCTATTGGAACCATTTTCATAAATTTGTGAGGTTTGGTTAGAAAAATAATCGATTCTTACCTATGAATCGACATTTGCACGGTTTAAGTTTGTAAAAGATCCGAAAGCGACGATTCATGATGGAAGGAAGGAAGATAAAATAAGTTTTGTCGAAATTTTATAACGACATTTATGTCCCTAGAACAGTTACACGACTTTTGGATAAATAATTTTGTTATATCCGCGACAGAAATAAAAAATTACAACAAAGGTTAAATGTAGGCCGACTTATTCTAAGTACCTACAGCAAACACAAACAAATTAAACTATAAACCATAAACGTGAGGAAACTACGTAGTTACTCTGCGAAGATAATCGAATGTGACAGCAGTCGAATGACTTGATGTATAACAAAGCTTCAAAAAGAGAGAAAAAGACGTATGTATATATAGATATACAGACGCCTAGTCTATAACCATGTATTGAATTGTTATTTAGGAGTAAAAATAAACGAATTATTATTAGTTCTATAAAGTGCCATGAGCAACCAAATCAAACAATTTTTGTTATACAATTCTTACAATATTATATTAATAAAATAGTAACTTCCCACACAAATTGAACAAAAAACGAACGTTAGCACTAGAAACTACATTTTTTTGAAGTTATTTGGCTAAAAGTATTTCGAAAGCGCGATCATTTACGGTTATTGCGTTCAAACTAGCTTTGATGAAATATAATACTGGATCTATAATCAAAATAGACAGTATTTTGATTTTGATGATTTTGACGAAAACTATCTTACCTGAGCTGCAACTCTTCCTTGCTTCAATCGCGGCAAATCCGTGTGGCTCCATGAACTGGTGGCCCACGGCGATATTGTCCGCAAATCTTCGTCGAACCTAAAATGGAATCGTTGATATCACACAGCAGATCTACCGAGAACTTGGAAATGTTATCTGCGTTTCAAATATACGTAATTTAATATTTTCGAGACAAGTTCCGAGATATGATAGTTAGCTAGCGTTCTAGACATTATAAACTTGGATAACTCTGTTTTTTTCTGCTTAGGTATATTTTTCCATATGTCTGCCTAACTTTATTTAGTTTTAGAAAGTATTTTTTTAACATTTTTACATATAAAAATAAGATATTTCGTAAGACTACAACGAACTTTAAAATATAGGATAAGGAATCGAGTTAGTTCTAAACTAAGAGATACTCAATGCATGCCTGTCGTTTGATAATTCGGTCACTTAATCTCAAATTACTCTCAAGGCAGTCTTATTTGTTTAATAGATACTTACTTAAAATCCTTAATTCTGTTATGTAAAAATTTTCTTATGTTCCAAGGTAGATCGTTGTGTCCGTCGACTAGGGGTGTTTCATGCAGAAGCCTTTCGGCTAGTCGGAGACGCTCGTGCAGGGGCGCGCCGGGTGGGGCACGCAATGCCAACGGCCCGGCTACGCATGCTGTGCCCGCTACGAGCACGAGTACCGCCACGCAACACCATCGGCGGTGCCAGACTGAGAACCCTGGGTATGGACGAGAGCTGGTAATCCGTATTTACAGCATCAACCCATGTTGTACGTTTTATGAGTCTCCCCCTAAGAAGAGGTATAAGGCATAATCCTCTACGAAGGCGGGCGTATATCCGTTACTTAGCAACTGATATTGTTTTAACTTTCCATTATTTGTTATAATTCTTAATACAAAGATCGAACACTCAGAAAAAATTCCTTCGATCCGGCCGGATTCGAACCGACGTCTTCTAGCATACCGTGCCAGACGCTATGCGTATAGCGTCGATCTTTGTATTAGTAATTATAGCGAACTAGTGGAGTAATTTCACATAAAAAATAATTCAATATCAATTCAGTAAACTTTTAATTCTATTATTTGTTAACCAACTTCAAAAAAGTAGGAGGTTCTAATACATGTGTATATACATATATATAATTTCTTATACTTTTTATAATAAAAAAGAAATCAATTTGGATTTGGTGATATAGGTACCGGTGGAATAACATAGAAACTAAATACCCCTGTATGTATTCGATACTCGATACGTTGATAACAAAGTCTGGTAGTTAAGTGTATCAGGTTTAAAATAGTGCGATTATACTTTATTATAAATCATTCTTGTTTTAATGGAAATGGTAGAACTATATTATTCGGTCAGCGCTCGAAACAAATTAGTGTGCGAAACACGTGCTTTAATTACAGAGTTTGAAGGTGCTGTAAGTTTTATAATTTTGTCTGATGTTGTGACTGACTATTGAAAAATAAAACAGTCATTTGTTTTTACAAAGAAATAGATATGTATTTACATAATAAAAATAGGCAATTTTAATGTACATACTATGAGTGTGAAGGGTGCATTGAGAGAGTGTGGGTGGTATTTTTACATACACATCATACAAGCAAGAATATGAATTTGGTATACTGTAACTAGTAGGTAATGTGTAGGTAATCTGTGACTTAATAGGTTCGTTTATGTATCACTAAGATAAGTTAACAATTTACATAACCTTAAGTAAGTTATAAGAACAAATAAAATAGAAGTATATAAATCCATTTATTGGTTTTCTACAGCTGCGAGGAACATTAAAAATCGACGATGTAAGAAAGAACGCAGTGTACTAGTTAAAATTGGTGTTGCCGACACCTAGTACCCATAAAATACAAAGAGAGTTACAAAGTGCTACATAGCCATTGTGAAGGTCGTAAAGACAGTAATGGATCACTATTTTTCATACAATTGGAACGTTTCTCCCAGAAGTGAAAGTTACTTGGTTTATATGTTTGTTTGTGATACGTTCACGGGCCAGTGCCTTTGAATAGGTCTACGAACAGTCGCGTAGTAGTTCTGGATAGATGAACAGTGATTACGGAGTTCGGACTCCGGACAAAGTTCACGTATAATTTGCAAACGATCTGGGAAATACGTTTAAGAAAAGGATGTTGATGTTAGTGGTCATTTGACATCGTCGATCGTATTTAAAACAGCCGTGTTTTTTCAAGTAATATGACCCGCATGGTATCTAATAGGTTGCATTCGCATTAGCGGAATAACCTCAAAATCAATTTAGGTCAGCGATCGGTCGTTACGAGGCTTCCGATAATCTTGCTGTCAAACGCAAACTCGATCACCGTACCTAGTGGATACGTCGGCTTATGGGACTTATGGGCTCTGCACTTGGCCGTTTCTCGTTATATTCCAATATGCACCACGAGATGAAGTAAATCCTCACTAATCATAAATTAATTTAGTTTTACTTCCAGGGAAAACACGCAAAACCGTGCAAAAACAAAACAACAAACAGGTCGCGGTTGGTTGTGCAAATATTTACACATTTATTTCTATAGTACTTATTAAGCAGTTCGCTGCTTTCGACTATTTGTGCCGTTAGAATAAATCAATAGAATTTAAATCAAACCTTTGATGTGGTTATTTAGTCCAATATTTATAAAATAAATACATTTTATGTTAATATTTTTTATAGTTAGTACTTTCCACAGACCACATAAGTATTTTCTGAGTGTATGTTCACCCAGGGTACTTGCAATGGATAATATTGTTCATTGAGGAGAGAGAAGTAACAGAAGAAATTTAATCAAAAATAAATACTCGTACCTATATATTAATGGTTGGTTTTCAAATGTAATAGTATACGTTTGAAAAGTTACAACGATATTTTAAATAATGCAAGTACAATGTGTGTGAAGCAGGCATAATTAGTTATGTCGATTACTGGCAATACATGGAAAAATTATGAAAAATAGTGTTACTATTATGAAACCTTCAAAAATATCGTAAAAATACACACACACACACACACACACACACACACGCGCGCACACACACACACACACACACACACACACACACACACACACACACAC